TGCCAAGACCCTATAGAATAAAATGGTGGTAGTTGAAAATTTTTATGTTGCGCGATATTAGCGCAACTCCTTATTAAACCCCAAAATTTAGTGACAAATTTAATTAAATGCCCCAAAACACAACAAATTACCCATTTTTTTAAATGAAATATAAAAGATGAGGTTACAACGAGTAAAACGATACCCAACATGCCCAGTTTACAGATTGCGTGCGACCGTGAAACGGCGAAAAACTGCAGTACCCCAAAAAGTCAATAAAAGACACTTTAAAAGCCCCCACAGGTCATCAATTTAGAAATACCCCAAAATACTGGCCCTAGGATTATTGCTCTCACTCCGGCGTGCGCGGCGATACCCAACATGTGTAGCGCGTTCGTCGTTTTCATGCGTAGGCGCACCCGACGCGTGTTTACGTGGCGACGCGCGTGCTCGCGGGGGCGGGGTACTTTTAAAAATTTTTTTATTATTATTAGATTTATTTTATTTCATTTTAATTTTAAAAACTGTTTTTTGTTTTTTTTTTTCTTTTACTTTGACTGCTATCACATGGGGGGGCTTGCAAGCCCCCCCATGTAATAGCAGATGGTGGTGACAGGTCCTCTTTAAGGTGATGCTGGGGGTCCAAAAGACCCTCAGTGTCACCTTTACACTGGAAATAAGCTATTGAAGTGCAGATCGCACTTCAATAGCTTATAGCTGGGCTGCAGGAGCCCAGAACTGACAGCCCAGGGACCGGAAGTGATGCAATCTGCATCGCTCCCGGTCCCATAGAACGGGGAGGGGATCGATGAACGGAAGTTCGTCGACCTCCTCCCCAGCTCCCCGCGGACACAAAGATCGCCGGTCCCGGGCCCGTAGGAGGGGCAACGGAGCCCGGGAAGCACGGCGGGGGTGTCCGGCGGGGGGGGGGGCCCCTTCTTCGGGACGCAGAAGCGATCTGGCGACAGGTAAGTGGCCAGGATCGCTTCTGTTGTAAAGCCGACAGTCGGCTCTACAAGTTTAAACAGAGTCCCGGCGGCAAAAGTCGCCGGGAGTCTGTTTAAACAGCCCCGATGCTGGCGACGTACACTGTACGTCGTCAGTCACGAAGGGGTTAAAGAAGAACCCCAAGCATAGAAATTCTTAACCAATGTGGAGGTAGCCCCACTGTAAGGGTTAAGTGCTTGTTTTCATCTAGAGATGAAAATAACAGATATAAGCGCCTGAAGCTTGCAGCCTGCTTGCTACTAGACCATGGGATTGTACACCCCATTGACACCCATCATACCATAACAATAAACTTAAATAAAAAAGTAAAACACAACAACGATTGTGGAATAACTAGGCCGCGGCACCTTTTTATTGGGTTTTAATTAATTTAACCAATGAATAGACTTTAACAGTGGTTCTGTTTGGTAATAACGGTTAACCATTAACAGACCACCATGCTTAGTCATCAAGACTCAAGCAGCAATAACTTACACCAACCAAATTACTGTTTACCAACCACTGTCCACCCACAAAGTGGGCGACATTACCCCATAAAGATTGACCGCGACAAGGGAAAGTACAGTAAAGGGGAAGGTGGGCGGGAAGCAGGTGAAAAGATCCAAAATGAATTGTGAAGATAATCCAGAGGTGAGTCCAGCTGGCAGTTCTGAGGTAAAATGCTGACACTGTCCAGTGGCAGGAGTGACTATAAAAGGGGGAAAGGTTACACTCATTGGTCAGCTGTTTTCCCGCCAAAAGTCTGTCACCAATCCTGTGCTCAGCTGACTGAAGGTCTGTCCAGCAACTGAGGTAAATCTTCCTAGCAACAGCAGGCAGCTTGTAACCTGAAAGAACCAGCAAAGCAGTCCCAGAGAGACATGTACATGACAGTCATTCCACACCTCTATTCACATATAATTAGTTTAAAAAACAAAAACACATGGGTGATAGGGGCGACAATCCCATGGGGCCACTTCTCCTATTTTGCTTCCGTGGCCCTAACAGTCCCTTCAGTCTCGCTTAGGTCTTGTGAGCCATCACGTACTATACAGTGTATAGGATGTGAGGATGCTGAGAGACATGCCATCGCTGGAGTGGAGGAGGAGAGAGGCCTAAGGGACTGATCTAGCAGCGAGCCAGATGTGAGGTTTCATGTGCGTGTATCTTTGATATTTTCATCTCTGGACAAAAATGAGAACTTCACCCTTTCAATGCAGGGGTAGCCCCACTGCAAGGGTTATGATTATTTATGCCTGCAGTTTTTCTTTTAAGGATAGCACCACTTGGACCTGTAAAGCTTTCTTCAGCACAGCTTTGTTAGCTCTTCACTTCCAATGGTTTTCTGTTGTGTCTGATCAGAAACTCATGTTGCCAATCATTCACATATTGTTGCTGTTTGTGAAAACCATTACAGAAAAACCAGCAAAAGTGGATGAGTTGTCCATGACCACAGAAATTACGTGTTATACTTCCCTAAGGCCAGGTTCACACCTGGGTGTTTTACAGCGCTGATCGACTCGCTGTAAAACGCTCAAACAGTAAAATCCCATGGTTCCCACCTGGGTGTATTTCAGCCCGTGGAAACGCGCTGAAAAACGCACTACGCCCAAACAAGTACAGGAGCTTCTTTTGGGGCGTTTTTCCACGCGTTTCCATTGGTATTCCCGAGTGTGGATCGGGGTTAACAAAGCGGTAACCCCAAGCCACACTCGGGAATACAGCGTAGGACTTACCTTGTCTGAGATCCCTGCTGTGTAATACGGCGGCTGGCGACTTCCGGGTTCCGTCCCTTGCGAGCGGCCGCATCGCAGGGGGGTGGAGCCGGCGGGAAGTTTGAAAGTGAAACTTTTTTTTTTTTTTTTAAATAGAGAAAGTAAGGAAAAAGAAAATCATACCGCCAGTGAAACGCGCATATCACTGAACAGAAAAACGAGCAGAAAAAATACGCCCAGGTGTGAACCCAGCCTAAGAAATAAAAGATGAAATTGGTGACTACTGTTGCCAACAACTCGTATTGCTGTTTTTATATGTTTATTTTCATTTCTCCAGTTTTACTACCAGGCCCCTTACATTGAACATAAGATCTTGCCATGGGGAAGGATTGGAAATGTCATCAGTTATAAATCTGAGCTACAGGGAAACTACTAAACTGCATGCACATTTTTTGCAATTGCACTGCACTGGAATACATGGCATTTCAGTACCGCACGGGCGGGAGGTGCATTTGGGATGCCACTACAATGCACCTCCAGCAGCAGAATTTGTCAGGCCAAAACTGAAAATTGCTATTTTTTTTTATATAATTGTATGCAAATATAGCAGGCAATGGCTTGGAGCCAAAGCCAGCCTGCTATTTGCTATTTCAAACTGCAATAGCAGGCTGGCTATTGCGTCCTTCCACTGCCTGCTGTCAATCAGCTGAGGAGGGAACTGAAGGAGAAAGTTCTTCTTCAGGTCCTCCTCTGCTGATTGACAGCAGGCAGTGGGTGAGTGCAATAGCCAGCCTGCAATTACAGCAATTTAAAATAACCAGTCGCGGTCTTGCTATTTCTCCCAGCTGCTGGATGGGAACCAGCCTTAAGAGGGGGCACAGAGCAGTGGCCGGGACACGGGGAGGAGCAGTGGGGACCAGCATGGACAGCTGATTGATTGCCCTGGGCAACTGCTCCAGATTTTGTCTGCTCCAGTTTTAATAAATTCCCCTCACTATGCATTGTCGGCTGTGAGGCCTTCTATAGAGAGGTGTATGCCTTTCCAAATCCTGTCCAATCAATTTAATTTTCCATAGGAGGACTCCTATCAAGTTGTAGAAACATCTCCGCAACGATCAAGAGAAATGGGAGGCACCTGAGCTAAATTTCAAGTGTTGTTGCAAAGGGTCTGAATACTTCTGCCAATGTGATATTTCAGTTTTTTTTCTTTTTTCATACATTTTGTAAACATTTCTAAAATTCTGTTTTTCACTTTGTCATTATGGGGTACTGAGTGTAGATTAATGAGAAAAGAATGTGAACAACTGTAGTATCAGGCTTCAACATAAACAAAATTGGGAAATGTGAACAGGGCCTGAATGCACTGTATGTACATTGTGATGCATTAGCACTGCTAAAAAAAAAACAAATAAATCACTTGCCACTATTTTGCTTCAAATATTATTCCATCAGTTACAGTGTTTTGATTTCATAGTAGATTTAATGATCTCTGTGTTGTGACATAACAAGACTACCACTACCATTGTATGAGTCTAGACATTTCACCTAAACCTTGCGAATTTTTGAAGCCCAATTGAACTTATGGATATTGCTAAAATGAGCATTGTGCTAACAACATTAAAGTGTATTTCCACCTTTTGCAGCTAAATTGGGATATTACCTTTTGCATATGTTACATGTTCCCCATTCACTTAGCATTGTTTCTTACTATTTTACTTGCTCTTTTCTGAAAACTACTCCAAAACTGAAGTTTTTCCATTTTAAGTTGGATTTTGTTTACTATAATTAACCATGTCTGTACTGTGGTTGCAGATATTTTCAGTTGTAAACTAGTTTTTAACATGCTTTCCTAACAAAGGGTTAAAGAAATATATATATTATTTTTTTATTTTAGTATCATGTGACGTGTAACAAACTATAGTGGGGAAATATAACTGCAAAAGTGAAAATACACTCCTTCACTTCTTCACTCCTTCTTCCCTTTTTACAGCATGTGTGCAGGGTGTTTACATATGACCCCTTTCCCTGCTCTACAGTATGTCCTGTATGAGGACTCTTGTGATGTGGTCTGTCTTGGTTTTACAAGCGAGGACCACTGCAGCATGACCACATAAAGCAACATATTCACAGAGAAAAAGAGTTAAAATATAAATAAATATCCAAGCAAAAATCAGTCCCAAATCATAGCATGCGGTGGTACAGGACTATAAAGAGGTGAAAATGTTTGAAACATAGTTGAGACCTAGCCAATGACTGCATATAAAATGTCTCCTTTTCCTCTTCTGTTGATTTTCCATATTATTCTCTTCTCTTCCTCAGGCAGTATCAAAAATGACCTGGCATAGCGTGTGGTCTGGAGATCTTATGCTACAATGAGGAAACACACACGGGTGGCCCCCGGTGTGTTCTTCATATACCTACTTTCATGTATAATTGTGTGTGGCACAGAGGAGAGCACAAGTTCTAAAATCCCATTCCTCAATGCAAAATATGACGGCTATCCCATGTTGTACTTCTCCAAAGGCGAGGTGGAAAAACTGCGTGCTCAAGCGGCAGGCAGCCATCAACACATTGCATCACGTATTAATGAGGCAGTTCATACAATGCTGACTAACCGAATTGAATACCTTCCACCTTGGGAACCAAAGGATTTTTCAGCCAGATGGAACGAAATATATGGGAACAACTTGGGAGCACTGGCAATGTTCTGCGTTTTGAATCCTGACAACACTGAAGCAATTGGCTTTGCAAGAGAGTATATGGAAAGAATGGCAGCACAGCCTAGTTGGTATATTTTTTTTAAATGTTTACTTTTAATGCACTTTACTGTAAATAAGCACATCTTGACAACCACTGCCATCCCCAGTGCTGCTCAGTTAGATTTCTAAGGCCTCATGCATATAGCTGAGACTGGCTGTATCGCATACAATTTGGGCATACAGTGTTTTTTGCACGGGAGACACTGGCGTGCTGCTCAACTGCGTTTAGCCAAAATGTACATAGTAATGACTAGCTGTTTGTGGAAGTACGCAAACCCTGGTACGCATGTAAACAATGGAATTTACGCACATACCCATTGATTTCTACAGGCAGGCTGCACACAGCCTTGCAACGTACCTGTGACTGCCGGTCCAACAAATATGTAAGATCTGTACTCTGTATGCCCATATCCAGTTGTGTGCATGAGGCCAAAAGTGTTCTGTACTGAGTGCTTACCGTATAAAAATATACTTGGAATACAAAAGCTTTATTCTAAATGTTATGGCTAGATTTTTATGCCAAACAAACAAAATGGGAATCCCTTGAGTAACTGTAACCAGTATTGAAACCAAATTAATTATTAGAGGAACTCCCAGTTATTTAAAAAAAAATTAACGCTTGCCGTGGGGCTACCCCAGCACAGCAAGGGTTAACTACTCATTTTGGTATAGAGGCAGGAATACAAAAGATATGCTCACCAGCTACTCAGTTCTGTAGCGGTGTGTGCTCACCTCTTTTCCCCTCTGCTCTGGCTGTGTTATGTCCCTCAAGTCTAATGTAGGTGACCGGACCTTGCAGTGAGCGGGTAGCCCCACTGCAAGCGTTAATTTCTTAGATTCCTGGAGTTAATCTTTACGTCCATCTTTTTCATTTGACGGCCGGACGGGAGCATTCTAGATGCAGGTGGGTGTTTTAAAACATCCACCCCCACTTGTGCACGCTGTCCACACGAGTGGGAAAACTGCCCAAATTTGAAACGGCCAGCGATGGCTGTTTAAATACAAGAGTTCCATCAGCAGGAAAGCTGTCCGATCGCTTGTATTTTTGCGTGTGGGTGTGCTCCAGCTCTGATCCCGAGCGCCACTGTGCCCAGTCGGGTCCGGGACTGCAGCTCTGTGACCGAAGATCAGAGGGATATCAGTACACGATCTCCCTCTGATCCCCCTCCCCATTCTCGGAATGCAGGAAGTGATGTATTTTACATCACTTCCACATTAAACTGTCATTCCCGGCTACAGAAGACTGGGGAGAAGCTGGTGAAGCAGATCTCTTCTTGTTTTGGGGGTCCCTAGGTGACATTATGTGTCTTAGACACCTTATGTCTTCATAAAGAGGACCTGTCACTGTAAATTGGCTATCACCTAGGGGGCTTGTTATTCCCCATGTGATGGCAATAGAGTTAAGTGTAAAAAAATTAAAAGTTTACAAAAATTTAAAGTAGCATATGAAAAAATTAGTTGCATATTAAAAAAACGCAATTTCTTTTAATTTTAAGGCCTACGTGCGAAAATAAGGATTGCGCTGAACTTGTTTCATATCACTACGAACATCGAAGTGAGAGCAATAATTTTAGGGCCATCAATCACTGTCAACCCTGAACTCATAAGCAATAAAAGCTTTTAAAGCGTCGCCTATGGCCAAATTCTGGTTTGGTAGTTTTTTGTGATATTTTTTTTTTGCAGGCGCAATTAATTTTACAGTTCGACATGTTCAGTGTCTATTTACACGACTTGACCCCGTCTTTTATATTTTACCCAAAAATTTGGTTAACAAATGTTTCATTATATAACGTTTTTTTGCTGTATAGCAAAAAAAATTTAAAAAAACCCAGTGTTGATTAAATACCACCAAAAGAAAGCGTTATCTGTCCCAAAAAAATTAAATCAAATTCATTTCAGTGCAGCATTTCATGACTAAACAAATGTCAGTCAAAATACCTCAGCGCTGAATACTGAAAAATCAAGTGGTTAAAGATCAAGAGACAAAAAGAGCAATTGGCCAATAGACCAGACCCACACCCCAAGCTACAATATTACCTTGGACAACTATCATTTCATATCATTAGCTATTTTGTGGGGCTCAGCCAATCTTTTAAAAAAAGGCGGACCATCAGCCAGCATTGACCAATACTGTTGGTATTTTAGATTAATGGCATTTGTTAAAATTCCTCTTACAACTGTAGTTCACGTTGGTTAAACTCAAGGAAGGGAAAGTATGAAAACTGGAGCAGATGGAATCTGGAGCAGTTGCACATAGTAACTAATTGGCTTCTCTCTTCAGTTTGTTCAGTTAGGCTTTGAAAATGAAAGAGAGAAGCTGATTGGTTGTCATGGGCTGCTGCTCCAGATTTTGCTACTCCAATTTTAATACATTTCCCCCCAATGTTTATTAGCCATTTGTTTTAATTAGTATGCTAAAATTATTATTATTATTATTATTATTATTATTATTATTATTATTATTATTATTATTTTTTT